GTAAACTACCACCATCGACACACTGATGGAGTTGAATTCTATGGTATAGTGCAATATTAATGCAATGTCGGGTTTCCAATTCAATGGTATAGATAGAATGTGAAGGATGTGTGTTTGTGTTTTTATTTTTATAGTTATAATGTACACTGAAGATGGCATTTAATTTTGTTGCATGAGGTACAATGACAATAAACTAAACTAAAATCTCAATCTGAATTAAAGAAGAATTAGAATTAATATAAGTGATGATAAAAAAGAAAATAAAAGGGGAAGGGCAAAAAAAAACAAGTTCATCAGGTTGAAGAGAATGAAACATTTGAGCACACAAACTGCACTATACAGCAGAGAAATAAGAGGCTGTATTTTCAGCCTCTTATTGCTCTGCGGTATAGCCCATTATCTAGATTCCTGCCAACCTCCTCCACAAACACAACATGTTAGCAGAGGAACGAGGCTTACAGCCTTAAATCCCCATCTGCAAAATGGAAACAATTTACAGTTTGCATTATATGAAAACATTTCATAAGTTCCTTTTACATTGTGAGAAAGAGCAGTAAAGGGACACAACTCCTTCTTGGGGACGTTTCTGTTTGGCTCAGGGAGCATGCCCAGCTGAAGCAATTCTGTACATCAGACGTAAATAAATCTACGATGCAAGGGCCTTTCTTCCCCGTTGACAACACGTATTGCTAGAGGAAAGAAACAGTGATCTTGTCCCATTAAGTTAAAATTGTAAAAATTGTATGCCACCCAGAGTCACTTGGTTGAGATGGGCAGCTACAGAAATTGAATAAATAAAGACCAGCTGGATGAGAAGGTGAGCATGCTTTCAAAAAGGGGTGGCCAAAGAAGTTATCTTGGTGAACTTTAGTTACAGGACTGGGAACTGCTGATATAACCTAAGGAAAGGAAGGCAGATGAACCGCTCTGCTGATGGTAAAATAGAATAATTTAGAGCTTTACAATCCAAATCAAGCCAGGTGTTTTTTTGAAAACAATTCAAGACACAAGAAACCATACATACATTCATCAAACCCAATGTATTCATATATTTCATATATTTAGCCTTCAAGGATTCCAACTCCATCTCTGCCTAGCTATATACACCAATGTTTCCAACAAAAGTTTAATACATACAAGAGAGAGGACTGCCATATTCTTAAAAAATGGAAATGGTATTTTAAATTCCATCCTATTGGCCTTAACACCTGAAGACAAGTAGAAGGTAACAGGATGTCCTGGAAAAATGTCAAGAGATTTGAAAATAAATTCAGTAATANCTGCTCACTTCATCAGATGCTTAAAATGTGTTAATCTGAGCAGCTGCTATCAGATGCCTTTAGTACTCACAAGCTTCTCTCCCTCGCTTGAGTTTTTGACTGACAAATATTTTGAGTGCAAGAAATGGAAAGATGGAGAAAATGGAGAAACAAGGAATGGCCTCTGATGTTTAAAAATGAAAATACAAATAAGCAGAGTGCAGCCTATCACTTTTAAGAAATTTGCCCATCTGCAAAGAAAAATAAAACTAAGATAAGGTTATCAAAGAGATCTCGGGGAGCCGAGAAGAGCTGGATCACGTTTCATTAAGCCAAATGAAAACCTATAGGTTTTAGAGGAGTTCCAAATTGTTAGGTCAACCGCTACCAAGCGTCATGACATTTTCTGAAGTTTTTTTTTAATGTCATGTTATTTGGGGGATCACTTTTGTTCCCTGTTCAATTTTTACAAAAGGAAAAAAAAAAGGAGTGATCTAGAGGGAAATTGAACCGAGCTACAGTCTATTCTGCCAGAAAGAAGTGGGCTATCATAAAATCTAGTAGGGTCAACAGAAGTTGGAATATCATACCTTGCAAAGTTTAGAGGTTTCCTAAGAGGCAGAAGTTGCTGATCCGTTACTCTCTGGCCATTTCTTACTCAGCGGTCTCACATTCAAAGCTGTTATGTGGCTACTTGCTCCCTGCAACAGCGAGCTGGCCTCGAGCTTCCTGTTACCTGTGACTCACTCAACCCAACATCTGTGGTTCCGGTTTGGACGAGGATTTTCTCACAAATCACAAAGCACAGGGTAGCAAAATTGGAACATGATCTTGTCTTGACCAATTCTCACAAAGGCCGGGCAGCTTAGCCCAAGTGATTGGGGAAGAATTAATTTGGTGTGCTAATAAATGCAATGTGCAACTATTGTGGGTCATCAAGCTTCTAAAGGAAGGGCCGAGTCAAAAGGTAATCATTCTTCAAGATTTAGGACTGGTATATATATATTTTTGCAATACTTTCCCCCCCAAGTTTCAGGAAAAATACACCCAAACTTATGCTCATCAATCAACGGATTATCCAAAAAATATATGGAAAGTAGAGGGAGGATAGTTGTTAATCTTTGCCACACAAAAAAACTTTTGGCATCAAGGACAAAAACCAGAAAACCTTCATAGTCCTGAGGATGCAGTTAACAGCAAAAAGAAAATAGGTGACCATATTAGCCACAACTGATCATGTTTGACTCAAGAACCGTATCTTGTGGTAGGCTGAGATGCTATCTCTACCTCTGTTCTGTATCTAATCTGGGAACTTTGTTGCAAGATCTAATATCACTCACGGCTATCAGGGAAGCACGTACTTCATCCTTCTCCGTGGTATTATTTATTTAGCANTCCTCTTGATTCCCGCATACCTCCGCCCATACCTAAAAAGAAAGTCACATTATAAACATTGGTCAAAGGGGAAGGCAGGAAGTTCTAGAACCGTGATGGCGAACCCATGGCACATGTGCCAGAAACAGAGTCATCTCTTCGGGCATGCCAGCTGTCGCCTATTGCTCTTCTGGGTTCTGATGCACACTTGTGTGCTGGCCAGCTGGTCTTCGTGCACACAGGAGCGCCAGAAACCAGAAGAGCAGTTCCCTGGTGTGCATGCACATGCCAGGAAGCTGAGCTTCTGGCACACACATGCGCCAGCCAGCTGGACTTTGTGCACATATGTGAGCCAGAAACCAGAAGACCAGGTGACTGGCATGCAAGTGCACACCGGAAACCAGTTGTTCAGCTTCCCAGTGCGCTCATGTGCACCAGGGAACTGCTCTTCTAGTTTCTGGCACTCCTGTGCATGCGCACTCCCGTATCAGCACTCGATGCCGAAAAGGTTCGTCAAACACTGTTCTAGTAGGTTCCGCATCCAATGGTCAGAAATCCCCCTATTTTAAATCAGCACACTCCTTGCATTCATTTAAATCTGGCAACTGTATTCTGCAGGAGAATGTGGCTAGATCAGAGGTAGAACCAATATCTGAAAATCTGGGAAAGGTTAACAGTTGTAAAAGAAGGGGGAATATCCAGGCATAATTCAAGCCTCAATTAAGAAAATGTGTGATGAGCAGCATCCCCAGAAAATCAAAGTTTAAAGAAAGTTTATATCATGTTTATGAGTTACTTTGCAACTATTTACATACAATCATTAAATACAGTTCATTATGAAGATGGAAGGTGAGGCCTTTTTCTGCAAAACTCACATAGCCAGTTTTCATTCAGCCACTGTTGCGGTATTTTGGAATATTAAGCCTCATCAATGTATCTACTTAAGTTATGGAGTATTAGCAAGTCCAAGAAATGAGCACATTGCCAAATAAACCCATTCCCATTTTATTTAACAATGCTGTCGACCACAAATAGTTCAGCACTGCACTGAATCCATGATTTAAAGAACATGGTAATGCAATTGATAATTTAGTTCAGAGGAAAGCCTTGGAATTCATGTTGCTGTCTACTTTTTACTGCAAGACAACAGACTTGCAATCCTGTTAGAAAAGCCCAACTTTGTAGATTTTCCCCTCCGGCAGAACCCACCTGGATTTTATAAATTTGTGGAGTCTTCTGAATCTGGATGAGTAGGATTGCAGCTCTTCAAAACCTTTAGATGGTTTTGCCTAAGCAAGATCAGGGTTTTCTTTTTCTTTTTTTCCTCTTAGATTTTGAGGGGAAATTTATTCATTTATTCCTAAAAACCTCCCCTAGGTTAAACTATTTTAGAGTTATTAACAAAATAAGAGAGCTTTGAAGAGACCATGGAGGTCTTCTAGTCAACTAATTTTTCAATTTATAGATTTCCCACTTCACAGTGGTGCAGAAAAATGCCACCAATCTTTGGCAGTTGTGCTAGACACGATTCCAGGGGGCTAATGCTGCCCTGGGATCTCCATCTGCCTTGGACAAAAGAAGCAGGGGCATTAACAGACTATTTTGGAACAGCTTGCCAATTGTTCTTTACTCTCCTGCCATCTGGAAAAAGGTACAGAAGCATTCGGGCCCACACAAATTGACTGTGTAATGTTTCTTTCCACAAGCCATCAGACTCCTCAACACAAAGAAACTGGAACCATAAACACTTGTGAGCTATATGTAGTCCTGTGTCCTGCTCTTTTTCTTTTTTATTTATATTGTCTGATGTAGCACCTTGGTTCTGGGGAAACGTTGTTTCGTTTCTACTGTGTACTGACAATAAAACCTACTTGACCTGTTCAAGGAAGTTCAGAGGTTAATTTGTTCACTCAGAGATCATTTACCTGCTAATTTCTATTTTAGAATCTCAATATATGACATACACAAATACATATATATACACATACATACATACATATAACCTGTTTTCCCAAAAATAAGCCCTCCCTGGATAATTAGCCCAATCGGACTTTTGAGCGCATGTGCTAAAATAAGCCCTCCCCTGAAAATATTGCAACACAGCAGCAGCCATGAGGTGACCATGCTCATAGTCTCGTGCACCTCAAAAATAATAAGACCTCCCCGAAAATAANAAGAGAGCCAAATTCTGCAGTGATTCACTTAACAACTCTGGCAAGAAAGGTCATAAAATGGGGCAAAATTCACTTAACTGTCTTGCTAAGCAACAGAAAGTTTGGGATCAAATTGTGGTCGTACGTTGTGGACTACCTGTATATGGGAGAACCATAGCAGATACGACCATCAATTTGATAGGATCCAAACAACTGCCCTGAAAATTTATACCAGGAAAAAACCCCCAAAATATAAATAAAAATACAACCTTGTTTTCTCTTCTGAACGGATTTTACTTTAAGACCTTGAATTAGTCTCATAATAAAAATAATTTGCTCCTTTCCCAATGTACAAAAGTGACATAGAATATCAAGAAAGGTATACATGTAAGGGTTGCAAGAATGAATACTTCACAAAAATACCTTGAGTTCAGAAGCCAGCAATGGAACAACTGGCCTTATGCAACCCCCCAAAGCATTACCCGAGTCTGAAAACTGAAGGAACCTGTGGGTAAAAGCTAGCTCTTCTGTCCCCAAAATTGCCAATAAACTTCAACACAGACCAGCCTTAAATATTACTTAATGTTTTCTTTATTTAAAAGATCATTCACAAAATACCATATCCATAAATTTACTTTGTCATGAAGCAGAATGTGTTAAGTGTTTGGAAATTTCTCTTTACACATTTAAAAATCAAATGGATCGACTGAGTGAGCCTTGCATGGAGAAAACTTGTTTTTTGCTCTTAAAATCCTGGTTCTTCCTTATTTACAGTGGAAGAGAGATTATTGGGTGGATTTTGTTTAGAACACAACCACACAGTGCATGTCTTAAAGAAAGTTAGTGTTAAACAAATGGTTCTTATTCTCAAAAATATGCTCAAATTACAAGGAGGTCAGGAAAAGAAACATTTGCCCTTTTGTAAATCATGAAGATCTTTGCTAATTTTATTTATTTATCCAAATAAAAGCTGCTCTTGGAAGCCTGCTAATTAATTTTGCAAATTGAAAGACCTGTTTTTAGAAATTGGACAAGATTTAGCATTTAAAAGAAGGAGAAGCCCCAGAAAAGAGAAAGCCTCCAATACCTGCCAGTTTCTATCCTGTTATTTGTATCAAAGCTACAAATAAGATATGTTAGCACTGAAGTCAGGCATGCAGGTATTCCCACTCTGCTCAGACTGAGCCACAAATCCTACAAACTGAACAGCTGAGCAGGTGACAAACTTCTCTTCAAGTTTACATCACTGTTTAGTGCTTCTTTCCTTCTAAGTTACTTGCTGCATCCAGCTTTTTCCAGCAGAATTTATTCACACAGAGACGCAAGGGGAATGAACATTTGTCAGCCGCTCAGTTTGCCAGGCCTCCGTGCTCTTAAAAGATGCCAGTTGAAACTGCATAATGTGGTGCTCTCCTCTCTTGCTTATTGGAAGAGCTAAACAGGAAAAGCACAAAACATACTGAAAGAATAAAAATGCTGGCATGGTGAAGTTAAGACACCATGTCATTCAAAACAAAGCGCCTCCAACCTCCCAAAGGGGGGGACAAAAACTTTATTTAAGGAAATTAGTTAGAAAGCCATGAGCAATTCTGTGGAAAAAATAAAATAAAATGCAGAATATGTTGGAAGAAGGTCCTGGGTGCTACAGAGTTGGCACAAATGTCAACAGCACCAACCTCTAAGCACTAGTGGGAATGACACAGGCCAAGTCAAGAATGCATCACACTGCATTTTTCATGCCAGACTCAGATGCAGACACATAACATCTGCTCCAGGCAGAGCCCTGCGCAGTGCCAGCGGGGCCCAGAGCAGAGGGCATCTCTTGCTCTTGCTGCAGTTTACATTTGAAAACTATCCTGGAGGAAACTGATTTTGGATCTATTCCAAAGGGCCCAGTGGCTTAAATCTGTGTTGCAGGAGGGTTTGGGGCTATTTATTTTTGCAACGTTTTCACTTGGGCAAGATTCCTTTTGAGTTGAGGGTCACTGGGGGATGACTGAACATGCCATGGACAAAGAAGCACTGTGGAAGGCAGAGGGGAACAAGGTAAGCAGGACTGACTCGGAGGTCTGGGAAGAAGAGAGAGTCAGAAACGAGAAAGGGGAAGCACCACCTTGGATTAAAGAAAGCCACTGTGGAAGAGGTGCTCTATCGGCTGGAAACCAGCCCTGAGGTTGGAACGAGGGAAGTCTGGGGCTGGGAAACTTAAGAGAATGCAGGCACTACATACAGCAAAGCCAAAAATGTGCTAAAAACCACTTGTTAACAGCTGACATGCATTCACAAGCTCTGGTTTGTTTTGATTTGGTTTTTTTTTCTTTCCATTTAGGTTTCAAGGAGGACAAGTGTCAGATGGTAGGAATGGTGGCTGCGGGGTTAAATGTTCTGAGCTCAGTGAGACACT